TCCTCCAAACACTATTTTCTGCACTAAGGACATTTCTTCTCTTCACTCAAACATTCCCCATGATGAAGGCTTGAAATCTCTACAATCTTTTTTGTTGAAACTAGGCAAATGTAACACTCAAATTATTAAAGACTTAACCAGTTCTTACATTTAATGGTTGTGAATTTAATAATGAATTATATATTCAGACAAAAGGCACAGCTATAGAGACCAAGATGAAACCAAACTGTGCAAAAATTTTGTATGGGAGATTTAGAGCCAAGACTGTTGGAAAGCTGTACAGACAAACCAACCTTTTGGAGATGCTACACAGATGAAATTTTTTTTCATTTGAGTAGGAGACAAAAATTCCTTACTCTACTTCTACAGAGATGCAAACTTCTTCCATTAAATTCACTCTAGATTATTCCACCTAACATTAAGAGATGGTGTTCTACATACTATTTTGTACCAAAACCAACTGATAGACCATAATACTTCCATTTTCAAAGCTGTCACCCTCCACACATCAAATCCAATATTACATTCAATCAAGCACTCAGATCAAAGAAAATCTACTCTGACAAAAAGGAAAAAAGACCATTTATTCTCCTGAAGAAGAATAGTCAACTATTTGAAAGCACTTGAGTTTTGGGTGTTTTTTGTTTTTAATTCATTACACTTACCCTACAGATATTGTTAAGCCATAATAAAAATTTATAGCTATGTCAAATCTTTCTTCTCAGCTTCACTAAAGATGCTGGTAATTGAAAAATGCGCCTTACTAAATCAATCCAAAATTTTCTTGAAATTAATAACACATATTCATATTCACTCAAAATAAGCATAAAACCATGAAGAACATATCAACCATTTTTCAGTTTGTGTGAGTCTTACAAGCAGTCCTACAGTCTATTTCCTATAGCATTGACATATCTCTTAATCTTTTCAAAAAAATACCCAAATATTTTAAACAAAACATGTTTTAACTCTTTACACTTACTTGAAGGACTCAAACAAGTTTTTTACAAAAAATATATTTTCAAATAACTATTTTGCAACTAAATATCCTGTCTAGACACTACTATTAAAACATGGCCTATGCAGTTACAGAATTTTTGTAAAGATATTTTGTGCAGTTGAATACAAAGTAAGCAAGGCAAATTAACTAATTTTAAAATTACTAATGAATGATCACTTAATACTGTTTACATTTAAAATCATTAGAACCAGACATGGTAATGATGAAGTGTAGGCCTAAAATGTTTAATTTAAAAATAAAGTATTTTGAAACGCACTGTTTGTCAGAAAGGCACATCTAACCCCCCTACACAAGTCTTAAGAATTCAAACATGTATTTTGTTTAAAGTAGTTGACTATTTCATTAAATACTGGGGGATATAAAAACAAGGAACTGACAAAAGATAATAAGGTGAATGACAGGGTGGACTGTGGAGACATTTCTTCATACTATTTGTTGTGTCAACACTCAGATGTACAAGTAATCCAACAACTAAGACTGTGACATGCTTTCAAAGTTCAAAGAAATACTTAAAATTCATCATGACACTTTTGGTACTTCTGTGTAAGAACTGATGCTATGCCCCTTCCTAGTCGTGGGCATTTATGTTCATAACAGCAATAATATGAAACTACTTACATATGGGACAATAATGAAACAGTGTGAAATTTGTAATTGTAGTATATTAACTACAGTAACTTATTAATATGTAGAATTTCAGCACTGAAAGAAATGTTGAAATAAATTCTTTATTAAATGTTAAAAATACTAAGATATTTCATTTCATTAATAAACACAAATTGTAAGGTCACACTGTGTAAGGTCACATTAAACATTCTTACAGCCAGAAGAATATCAAATAGTAAACAATTCATTAGACCACAATATAGATGTATGACATTCTACATATTACACAAGTCCGCAAATAAATGTCCTATATAAGCAACGAGATACAGTGTGTGCGAGTCTTGCATTACTCACACAACAAACAGTATCTTGGATGACAAACTTTACATAACTTTTAGTGCAGTTTTATCAATTTTAGCCAATCATTGTTTCTCTATCTCATTTGTCTTGGTATGATGCAATTGCCTCTATCTCAGCTTGGAAAAGCCAGTCTAGTGATCTTAACATAAAATGAATTTTTTTTAACTGTAAAAGCCTATAAGGCTTTCAATTCAGCAGACTTGAACAAATGATAAAACCTTAGCTGGATGTTTTGCTATTAGAAAAGATTTATGTCAACAATTTCTGACACATTTATACTCTAGATTTTCTATAAAATTTGTTTCATCAGTTTATACTTAATTTGAATTATAATACTGCAGTATGAGAGAAAATGTTTTTTGTGGAACAAGATGCAGTAGACTCGGACTATTTTTTCACAGTATGTTAAATTAAACCTCCTGCTTAACAATGAAAAAAAAAAGTCAGCTTATAATTTTTGTATGATAAATAAGCTATTTTTATGTACATCATTGAATGTAAACAAAATGAAAGTCCATGAGTTGTTTTTCAAATCAAAATAAAATTGACATTTACAGTTTTATAAGATAAAAGCTTACAGGAAAGTTTTTTAATAATTGAGGAAGACATAAAAACCAGCAATTGAAATATACAACAAAGTTAAGCATTTTAAATTGCTCTTTAAAAAAAAAAAACTACCACAATGAAATCTTTATGAATTTTTGAAGGTGTGAATTCATACAAATATCACATATAAAATAAGATTCTATTTGCAGAAGCTACATAATCTATATAAATTTCAGCTGAAGTTTCAAACTATTTCATTCAGTTTTTTGTTTGTTTTACAAAGCAATAAAACTACACATGTGCATCAAATCATCATATCCAGGAGTTTTAAAGATATTGTTTGGTTATTTTTGATGTAATGAGTCAAGCCTCTTTCATAAATTTATAATCAGATTTAATGATTTTATTTTAAGTTTAATATTAACAAGTCTGTTTAAGCTACCACACAGCTCTGAAATATAGTATTTGAAATAAATGTAAAAATCCCTGTAAGTTTGTCATTATCAGGGTAACATACAGATTGTTGCCTTACTGGTGTCTGCAGTAGCAATGGCAATATCATTTTGTTAACCCTCTAGATTCAGGTAGGTAAAAGTGTGCATGTCACAACCTTTTAACTGTTACTTGCAAAATTTAATTAAAGTACTTTATTATCAACGTATGCCCATAAACTTGGTGTGAAAACATACTTAATAACCCAAATTCTAATATTACATAAGCTTTAGTTTCTTAATTTCAAAAGGAAATATTTAAATATATTATCAGTGTTCAATTTTCTGTATAATGTCATTTGTTTGCTCCAAATTGCACAATTTAGTTAATCTTTCCATCCCTATTTCAGCTTCCAAGTTTTAATGCAAATTACACACTTATATTATAGATATTTCTAAGAGATATCTACCTTTATAGCCTTCAATTATCATATTTCACTTCAATATAAACAAGAAAGACCAATCAAGATGCCAAACACCATCCTCAAAATAATATCCATAGATCTCTCCAACATCATCAATAGGAGGAGAAGATTAGAAGATTTTGATATACTAATTAGATATAATGCTAGCTCATTCTCAACAGCTTTTGAATTATTTAGCATACATACTCGAAGTAGCTATCACCAAGTTCAGTTTAACCAGTTAAGAAAAATATTTCAAACTTATAGCTTAGTTAGTTAAATTGTAATAGTTACAGGACATTATATGCTTTGTGTGTTATTATTTTGTGTTCTAAATTGAGTATTTGAAATAAACAACAATCCTAGCAAAATTAGGGCTAACTTTTCTCAGCGTCGAGTCTTTCAAGCAAAAAAAAGTACAAGACCCACACTTATGTACTGAAATTTTCATTTTATGTGGATATTTTTTTTTATCTATTATTATAAAAATAACTAAAATATAAAAATATATTACATTAGCTAAAAAAGCATGAATGAAAAAAAAACAGAAAAACATTTCTCAGGGAGGTACTCATACGAGAAGCTCTTGGATTACATAATTCAGTACCATAACTTGAGCTACGTATTCATCATGAGATTTCTAGCTCGTTACGTGGGTTTTATAGTTAGATACGGTTCAAAGAATAATAAAATTAAATAAAACTAATGTAAACTGTTATGAGCCTGAGGCTTTTCAGGATAAATAATTATAATTTTCTGTTACACCCTCAATCATTCTAGAAAGAAGTAAGAGTAACTTAGATATTTTTTGTGGTGGTTCGGTGGTTAAGTTTGGTCAAATGAATAGACCAGGCCCATAAATTATTAGGGTAAAGAAAATAAGAAGTAAAATATAAGGATTTACTGATAAAAACATTTGATTTTATTTAACTTAAATTTTAAAAAGTGTGAAACATTATGTAAATGAAATATGACAACCACCTTGCACTCAGAATAGTCAAAAATTCCTAATTTTGGCATGTGATAGTATTTGTTTTAAAACCACATAAAGATATCTTTATTTACTCAAACTTCTCTAAACAAGACCACAATATTTTGATATTGATATTGAAAGCTAATTTAAACAAGTTACACCTGAATAATTTTGTTTAATCAGCGCATACAGATCTTTTATATCCAAGAGTAAAAATCCTCCAATTTCATTTGTAAATAAGAATGTTTGAAATCTATGAAATTGCATAAATTATTTCTAGTATAATATATGCAACCAATACATTATTAAAACCTCTTTCTGAGCTAGGTAACTTATGCTTCAAGTCAGAACTATGAGAGTTGTTTATAAAATGCAGTTAGTACACCATCACCCTCTCAGGCTAAAGGTCAGAGTACCATTTTATGAAAAACTAAATTATGCTTGATAATAACATAACAATATGCAATGAAGGAATGTCAAAGTTTAGAGCTATCTTCATTCAATTAGCTGACAATAATAAAGGCCTAATTATGTCAGACCTAAATAAAAATCGTGAATGCAAATCATTTTGACTCGTTATATAAATTAGAAAATCTTACCTCTAATACACTGTCATCTCCTAATGCCCAGCGTGACTGCTTATTATGGTAATTCTGAAACGCGGGATCTGTTTGTGGTCGCTGAAAAAAATATCCAACCATTGCATCGTCTTGGGAACGCGTCGCTCCGTGTCGCACGAAGTGGACATTGTTCATTTCCGACTGACCGTTGGCGAGCATTTCAGGCGGTCGGGTTTCCCATACCACTTCATTCATACTGAGAAAAATGTGAAAATTTCAGGCTTTTAAGATCCATCATTTTATTGTTTTATAAACTAACTTTGCTACCATTTCCTCTTATTTGTCCATGGATGCATATAAAAACGTTTTAATTTAAAAAACCGTTCACATAATTACTATTACTAACAATTTTCACTACGTAGCCTACCTGAACCCTAATACATAGGCTTAACCTGTGTAATGGCGTCAATTCTCTAAATTATCCGCTACAAAGTCTGACATGTAATTAAATTTTATGAAAATATTTACAAATATTAATCGAATAATTCTTTTTTTATAAAAGTAACATTTTATTTACCTTTATTGAAACGTAACATTCCGTGATGTAGTGGATTTTAAGGACACTACTCTTACATCAAAACATGGCGCTAGACATGAGTAAGATAAGTTTATTGTATACAATTACGTCATACGATTTGGTTGCTGCTCGATATCTCAGGCGCAACGAAGGTAAATAACCACCGCCCACTTGCGTCTTGAACAAATGAAAGGAGCTAAACTCTTTGACCCAAAATACAGTTTATTCAAAACTTAGTTATTTCTAAGACCATTTTAAAGTGATTTAGCTATATATGTAAAAGTAAAGTACGTATGCGAGATATGATACCTTTTGATATTTCATCCAAAAATTTAGAAAAATTACATGCAGCGAATTTACAAGTTCAACTGCGTTACGAAGTCACAATATTATTCGAGTTTTTATTGGGTTTGATATTTGTAATTTAGTAAGGCTAAATAATTAAGGAGTCGGGATCAATAAGAAAGCAGTATTTGACAATAAACTTTAGATATAATTATAAATCAAGAAAGTGAACAATTCCTTGCTTAAATTTTAAAACGTCTTTCGAACTAAATGCTACTTTCCAAAAGACCATATTGTTTTGTTGTTAGCACAAAGCTACATAATGGGCTAGCTGCGCTGTGTCTACCATGAGTATTGAAACTCGATTTTTAGCGTTATAAGCCCTCAGACTTACCTCTGAGCCTCTGAGGGGGGAGAGTGCTCAAGACAAATAAAAACTCTGGTCTTATAATCTTTCTACTTTCGACCCCAACTCCCCGAAATTCTTAACTGGAAAATTTTACTTTCGATATTCTCAACCAATGCGCGTGTTTAAAGTTTGCAAAATATTTCTTTGTTGACAGACAAAATGGTGCCTTTACGTAACAGGTGCATGTTTTTAAAAATGATATACAAATTCACGCGAAACTCAAATATTAAGTTTACTTGTATTTATATACAAATATTCAGCATCTGTTTTTATTTCTATATTTCGTAGAAAACTAATTTTAAATTATATGTTAATTTATTATGATATGTTACTGAGACCTTACAGCTGAAAAAACCTATTTAGGTCTCCTTAAGTCAGGCCTTATGTTTTGCAAATGAGCATTGCCTCTAAAGTTGCTAAACGCATTTTCATCATGATGTTGTTTTTGTTCATAATTTCTGATCATACTTAGAATGATTTGAAACTGGTTGAGGCATTTTATCACAAGCGATGAGACTGAAACTAGTCAATACTTATTGTTTTGGTATAATATATACATATATATATACATACAGTCAGACACACATATAAGAGGTTTTTCTGCTGTTTAAACAAGTATGAAGAACAATAAAGTAATTAATGACTGGGCATTATTAATACGAGACATCGTGTTTTACATGCGTTGGGTACAAAGGTCAAAATAAAAACGTAATATGCAGTAAATAAACAAATTAATATTCCAAATTAAACATAATTTTTAGGGGACTCGAGAATTTTGTTTTCCCACATCCTTAGCTTAAAAAATGACATACTTTGCCATAATTAGTGTTACACAACATTATATACAGAGTTTCCTTAATTTGTGAAATCCTGAGAGTCGCAAAAAACATAATGGTGTTAAAGGTTGGCTTTCAAAAACCTGGCTAGGCAAGTGAGTTTCTTCAAGTTCTTTAATCCCACTGAAGAACATATACTTTTAACGCAAGTTTATTAAAATAAACATGAAAATATCGTCGCATTATGGCAGTGTGGAAGTACGATACATCAGACACGGCTCTGTTTTAATTAACGCAGATAAAAATCCGCTTAGGAAAATGAACATGTTTAAAGATTATGAATACTGTTACGTCTCCG